AGGATACTGTTATACAGTTACAGGTGCATTTGAGTATAACAACTTGTAAAATAGGTTATCGGAAGAGTTATTTTGTGGAAAAGGGAGTTACTGTTAAGTGTTAAGGTCTCCTCCTAGTTACTGTGTGGTGCAGTACAACAGATAGGAGGATTCCTTAGCAAGTACAAGTAAGCAAGGTGTGTGGTGATGTTAAGCAGTTGCAGTAGGCTAATGATCGTGACTCTGGAAACATGCCCCCCCCCCCCCCCCAAACATGCACATAATATAACTCAGAGTAAACTACAACTACAGTTAACGGATCTGCAGAAACTTCTACAGCTCCTTCTTTAAACAGTGGTGCAATTACGTAGTTACCCGAAAAAGAACAATAGTGTAGTCTGCAAAATAAGAGGAAACACCAATTGGGGGCAGCTGAAACCGCTTTGAAAAGCTAACTTTCTAAATTTAACCCTTAGTTAATCCACAACGAGCGGTTAGTCCGGATACTAAATGTTTAGGTCACGTGACCACGAAAACCAAGCGAGATCAGTCAAAGTCACCTGCACTGTGCACTGCAAGCACTGTGCACTGCAAGCACTGTTCACTGCAAGCACTGTGCACTGCAAGCACTGTGCAATTCAAGCACTGTTCACTGCAAGCACTGTGCACTGCAAGCACTGTGCACTGCAAGCACTGTGCACTGCAAGCACTGTGCACTGCAAGCACTGCAAGCACTGTGCACTGCAAGTCGTTGTGCGGAGTGTATCTCAATGAGGATCTGTATGAAGATGACGTCTTGGTTTAATATAAGTGTTCTTTATATCTGATTGCTAGCTTGGTACGTAAAGAAGTGTCTGTGTGTAACACTTGCTGTACCAGTGTACCAGTAACTGTACCAGTGTACCAGTAACTGTACCAGTGTACCAGTAACTGTACCAGTGTACCAGTAACTGTACCAGTGTACTAGTAACTGTACCAGTGTACCAGTAACTGTACCAGTGTGTACCAGTAACTGTACCAGTGTACCAGTAACTGTACCAGTGTACCAGTAACTGTACCAGTGTACCAGTGTACCAGTAACTGTATCAGTGTACCAGTAACTGTACCAGTGTACCAGTAACTGTACCAGTGTACCAGTAACTGTACCAGTGTACCAGTAACTGTACCAGTGTACCAGTAACTGTACCAGTGTACCAGTAACTGTACCAGTGTACCAGTAACTGTACCAGTGTACCAGTAACTGTACCAGTGTACCAGTAACTGTACCAGTGTACCAGTAACTGTACCAGTAACTGTACCAGTGTACCAGTAACTGTACCAGTGTACCAGTAACTGTACCAGTAACTGTACCAGTGTACCAGTAACTGTACCAGTGTACCAGTGTACCAGTAACTGTACCAGTGTACCAGTAACTGTACCAGTGTACCAGTGTACCAGTAACTGTACCAGTGTACCAGTAACTGTACCAGTGTACTAGTAACTGTACCAGTGTACCAGTGTAACAGTGTGTACCAGTAACTGTACTACTTGTTGATATCATTACAAGCTTTTCCGGTACAAGCACGGAAGGCCAAGGGTATGTTATAATATGCGATTGGTAGAGCGATCAATGATTAATGAAGTTGAGCTCAGTATCCAATCATCTGACTTCATGTAAAGGTCCGCTTCGAACATCGCAAAATGGTCACCATCGTGATTGTGTTCTAGCTATGCACTGAAATGGGGGTATGGCTCTCCAAGATAAAGTAAGGTTAAGATATTAGGGATGGGCTTTTGCGTCTGTTAGTGTTCGTTTCTAAAAGTATACATAAAAGACGTTTGGCCACGTACGGCCACAGAAATGATTGCATTTGTCAAGAGGAAGATATGAATTGAAAATGTTAAATTCGAGATATCTTCCAAGAACCAGATATGAGCAGGATACAGCGAATGCAGAGTTGCATGGAACAATGCCCTTTCATGTCGTCATAGAAAACGAAAATATCCAATATTGCTCGACCAAGGAAACAGAATTATTAAAATTACTTAATACAAAAGTCAGTGTTCTAAAATTAACGGTTGATGTCAAATTATGCCTTGAACTGTTGCAACATGTTGGTATGATTAAATATTATTTATTGAACAATATTTACGCAATTAACCCGACGTGATTTAGCACGTATTTGAATATGGGGAAGTCCGGATGAAGCATGATAAAATAACTTGTAAGTTGCTGCTGCTTAGTTTACTGAATTAACAAAACACTAAAAATTACGTTGACAGTTAGCATATGAAATATGGAATTTATTTTATTTTTTATTTTATAACAAATTAAAAGCAAGTATTTTCCTGACAATTAATAATTCTTTGGTGAAATTTCTTGAGTGGAATTTCTTTCATTGCAAGATTCCGTCCAATCAGAATGTCAAATTTCGAACTTATTTTGTTCATAATTTGCATAATTTGTATAATGATTATATTCTGGCATTTAATTTTTTAAATCATCAAACTTTAAAAGTTTAACATTATATTCCAACGCCCATAATAATTGTACCTTTTATTCATAATCCTTATTAACTAATTAGATAATTAACTAATTGACTAATTAGCACATAACTTACATGAAAAGGTCCTTCATTAGCCCTTTTAACTGGTAGTGCAGCAGAGAAAACAGCATTTCACCCTCACTCAACAACAACAAAAACGCACAAAAAATGTCCGGTATTTTTCGGAAATATTCTGAACAAATCCTACGATCAAGATCACGCGTACGATTGTATTTGGAGGTGCGGTATTAGCCTATGCGATTATCGTATACCAGGCAACTGTGTTATCAGTAACAATTCACGGAGAGAAAAGTATATGAACTAATATATTATAGTGCTGAAAATACATAAAAAACACATTAAACCACTTGACAGCAAATCTCGTCGCTCATTGGTCAACTATCCGGACAAATACAGCGCTCTGATTGGCTGAAAACCAGCCCACGTGACACCGCGCAGACACCCGATTGGTTGCCATGGCAGGAAGTACAGGATAATTGGTTGCAGCAGAAGGTTCAAACATAATGATAGCTCTCGGGCCGGGTATTAATTAGTCATTATCCACTGGATTGTAAGCCGCTTAATTTACCCACAGGATTAGACACGGGATGATCGGAACTGAAGGTGTAACCATGACAACTGAAGGTGTGACCTCGTTATTGTCTTATCAGTACGTGATGGTTCATTTCACACGTGGTGTTTCAGTTAACACGTGATATTGAGGCGATTTGTGACTGAGTTGAAATAGGAATGTGTTCTCATTCTGTGCGCCGACACCATGTTGGTGTAACCATGGCAACCATGGCAACATGTTGGCAACTCGTCACTTCTTTCATTCTGACGAAATTCTACCGTGCTGAATTTATTTTAACAACTTTGGAGAGGAAAGAAAAAAATGTAAAATGGGAACATTTTATTTGGGAATGACGGGATGTTTTGGCACGTGATAGTAATTAAAACCTGTCAGCTTACGAGAGAGATAAATCTCCGTTACGAGATTCGCACAAACGCAAATCCCGATAGAAAATATGCTAAAATAACGGTGCGTGGTGATAACATGAACCCATCAGTTCTTTTCGTATTTGTCTCTTTACCGACAAATGCAAGCCCGGTATTTTCTCCCTTTAACCGGGGATCCTATTGGCGACAATTTCAAAAAAGTTACTTCAAATAAATGAGAGCCAGGTAGAAAACCGTTTTGAATTCTGCGGAATGTTCGTTAAAGCGTCTGACAGATCCAAGAAACATCTCTTAATCCGACAAACGAATACGTGGTGTTTTGAATAGACAACGTGCGGCGCTTATTGCACGTGCGTCAGCGCTTATTGCACGTGTGTTAGCGCTTATTGCACGTGCGTCAGCGCTTATTGCACGTGCGTCAGCGCTTATTGCACGTGCGTCAGCGCTTATTGCACGTGCGTCAGCGCTTATTGCACGTGCGTCAGCGCTTATTGCACGTGCGTCAGCGCTTATTGCACGTGCGTCAGCGCTTATTGCACGTGCGTCAGCGCACGGTACTAAGAAAATAGTTTAGAGGTTAAAGTGAAATTATAATCGCATAATGATCTAACAATTGGTGGGTCTATGATTGAAATCTTTGTGACGTGAATGGTAACAAAGCAAGGTAGAGAGTAGTGAGCTTCAGTGGATATTCTATTGGAGAAACGCTTGAAGTTTCGTCAGAGAGGTCAATTTAGTGGGATCAAAGTATGAGTAGATATAAACACGCATGTACCGTTATCTAGTGCGGTGCCGTGCGGTGCCGTGCGATGCCGTCTTCTAGTAACTATCAAGACAAATGAAGATACAAAAAACCATGGATATATAGTTAATAAACACTAGATGTAGTTAATAAACACTAACCTTCTCTCAGAAAAGTCAGCAAACTTTTTGACCTCCTTCATGAGATAGAATTTGAATTTCATCACAGTGAAATTAAACTAAAACTTAGACTGGGATCAAGTTAAACGTAACGAGAAGAAGGAATGAGAGAAATGATTGGGTCGAGTTATTCTCAGCACCTAACTCATCACGTGTTATTCTATTAAAATTAACAGAATTACTATGGTTACGGGATGATGACATGAGATTCATAACCATGTGAATATTGTCTCATAAGACTGACTTTTGGGGTAAAATCACAAACTTGATGGTTAAATTCTGCCTTTGAGTAGGTTGTACGCAAGCCATGATCAATAATGTTTTATGATGTAGTACAAAAAGTCACGTCAACAAATGTTTGGTATCACCGACGATATGTCTCTAAGATCAGATAAAACCAACAATAGCTAGTACATATATTATAAAAACGAAAGTCATGAAAATTTATACATTTTTTTGCAAAGAACGTGAATATTTCAAAATATGTGACAAAATATCAGCTGGTTGGTATGGTGGAAATAGATTTTAAAATAAACACAAGTGTATTATATAAATTTAAAGTGTATTATATAAATAGTGACATTAATGAAATAATAACCATTAAACAGTACTCACGATCTTAGAATAGAGTTGTAGATGTAAGAGGCACTCTTCATTACCAGTGCGGTGCACCCTCTCCAAGAATCACCCAGCGCAGCCCTTAGGTGCACCCCGCCACACGTACCTTTAACACCTCTTCTTCAACCAATTTCAAAGATTTTTTCAAGAATACTCCAGAAAATATGTTATTTAAGGTGTTTGAAAACCACAATCCAAGGAGTTGATAATCCAAGTAACACCACGGTTACTATGGTAACCAAGGAGTTGATATTCCAAGGAGCGTTGATCTGGTTGACTTGTGACAGAACAGGTAGATTCAGAAGGTTTTGAGCAGGGGTAGGTTCAAATAATTCATCTCATCATGGTCTGTTGTAGCGCTTTAAATAGAGGAGTTAATAACGGGGGGAAGAACAATAAAGCTATCTACTGCGTGACAAACAACAACTTTATAAAAAGATAGATTGCGGTGAAACGAGACCTCGCAAAAAAGGGCAAATCGTCGAGTGAGTACGATAAATAGTTGTATTTTGTGAGTTGATATTTTAAAACTGCAGGGAAGCAATCAAATACCAATCTATCAACCGTACTAAAATCAAATACTGTCAGACTGAAGAGTACTATATCTTTACACTATATCTTTACACTATATCTTTACACTACATAGTGCAGTAAGTACAGGGCGTGACTAGCAATGCTACATAAATTCAACTCAATTTTCAGAACAGCTGGCGTTGGAACTGTGTGTTTAATAAGGGATCAAAGTCAGAACAAATTCAATATTATAAAGGAGTAAAGCTGAAAGCTAGCGTCTAGGCGGGATGTGTCGATAAAGTGGCTCGAAAGCGAAAGTAAAGTGGCAAATTTCTGCATAACGTAACTTGCAGGTGATGGGATTAAATTTAAAATGACTTCAACGGAGTGGTTTGCAGAGTTCTGTGATTTAAAATGTACGGAGTTGAAAGTATTACAGAAATGTTTCAAACACAGCAGGTGGCGCGGTAATTAACCAAACTGTTTCGGAGTGGTACCTAAACCGCTGGTATTACACCTCAAATGTGGTAAATTGTGTGGTAAAAAGTGGTAATCACCGACACGAGTTGCTACAAACAACCGTTGAAATCACAAGAAGACTAAGGACCGTTAACAGGTGGCATAGTGGCTGAAATATAGTTATAATTAATGTTTCTCCCGATAACCTGCGACTGAGCCCAACAGTTTACAACTACAACTCAAGACAAACTAACTCATATAACGGATCAAACTCTCATTATCTCAATCATCAGCTGTATCCCCGCCGATGACGTCCGGAACTACCCCCGGGCCGATCACGTGACAATTGTTTACAGAATCCGCCAAACAACAAGATGACTCCGAACCGAATTAAGGACAATACTAGGTGTGCTGGATTAGGTTTGGGACCGTGACGTCATCACGTATGAAACCACGTGACCACGTATGAAACCACGTGACTACGTAACAGAAACCACGTGACCGGTGACAGACTCACCTTTGAAATGATTACCGGTTACAGACACCGTCACACTAGCGCAGGAGAGAGAGAATAACTTGATAGCGTTATTGTTTCAGCCGGGCCTGTTTGGAAATCGGTGTTCCATTTCGGAGGTTGTTGAGGTGTGGGCAACATTAGTGTCACGTGCTCACAACAGTGGGGTAATTAATTACATGATTAGTGGGGAAATGGGTGAAGTAAGCAAGTTTGTCAATGACACAAGGCGTGATGATTGAAACAATATGTGTATGTGATGTGGTAACCTTTGTGATCTTCAACAGAAGAGGAGGAGTTTTGTTTTATGTGTTTTATGAATGCCGGGTAATTTGTTACATTTTAAAGTGACAGTTTTATTGTCTGTATCGGAGATTGATGGTTAAAGCACTACTGGAGAAATTAATGATCATTAAAAAATGAGAGGAATTTAAATGAATTTGCTTGAAAGCTTTGTCACAAATGCGCATTTTCATGAACAATATGACTGTTGGATAATTTCAAAAGTGGGGATTACGTTGGTGTGGTCACGTGGTACTACATAGGTCACGTGACTCTTTTGTGTGGTCACGTGACTCTTTTTTGCAGTCACATGATAAAACAAGCAGTGTCTCTCTGTTGGAGTGTTGTCAAGAAAAGGTGGGACAGTGGGACAGATGACTCAGGACTGCAAATAAAAATAAGAAAAGGACGTGTTAGTCCTAGCGATCTTAGAGATTAAATTTTAATAAAAACTCTGCATCCTTTGTAGGGTAGCACTGGTAGCAACAAAATTATTATCAGCATTATATAAGAAATAATAAGTGTACATGTCGAGTACCTGTAGGGGCCTTACTTTCTTCAACTAGCAACATTGGTAGAGGTGATAGTTGCAGTGCGATATGTAGAAGCAACAAATTGTTAATGTTGACAAAACTGATGGTGCATGGTCCTATAAAAAGCAATATGATCAATAAAAAATACAAGAAATGTTACCACAAACAGATTGGGTGTGTTCCTGCAAATAGATCAACAGAAATAGTAAACAAAGAAAAAGAAGAAGTCGAACTCAAGAGTCAAGGTCCACTGCACTATATTAGGCTTAAACAATAGGAGACTATTGACTTCTTTTTTAAATATCTCAGGAAGTGTGTCCTGGGCGACAGGAGTCAGGCTAGATGGAGCTGGAGGGGATGGAGCTGGAGGGAAGTGAGTCCCAAGGTAAAGGAGTAAGGCTAGATGGAGCTGGAGGGAAGTGAGTACCAAGGTAAAGGAGTCAGGCTGGAGGGAGCTGGATGAAAGTGAGTCCCAAGGTAAAGGAGTCAGGCTAGATGGAGCTGGAGGGAAGTGAGTCCCAAGGTAAAGGAGTTAGGCTAGATGGAGCTGGAGGGAAGTGAGTCCCAAGGTAAAGGAGTTAGGCTAGATGGAGCTGGAGGGAAGTGAGTCCCAAGGTAAAGGAGTCACGCTAGATGGAGCTGGAGGGAAGTGAGTCCCAAGGTAAAGGAGTTAGGCTAGATGGAGCTGGAGGGAAGTGAGTCCCAAGGTAAAGGAGTCAGGGTAGATGGAGCTGGAGGGAAGTGAGTCCCAAGGTAAAGGAGTCAGGCTAGATGGAGCTGGAGGGAAGTGAGTCCCAAGGTAAAGGAGTAAGGCTAGATGGAGCTGGAGGGAAGTGAGTCCCAAGGTAAAGGAGTTAGGCTAGATGGAACTGGAGGGAAGTGAGTCCCAAGGTAAAGGAGTTAGGCTAGATGGAACTGGAGGGAAGTGAGTCCCAAGGTAAAGGAGTCAGGCTCACTCAGGCTAGATGGAGCTGGAGGGAAGTGAGTCCCAAGGTAAAGGAGTCAGGCTAGATGGAGCTGGAGGGAAGTGAGTCCCAAGGTAAAGGAGTCAGGCTAGATGGAGCTGGAGGGAAGTGAGTCCCAAGGTAAAGGAGTCAGGCTGGAGGGAGCTGGAGGGAAGTGAGTCCCAAGGTAAAGGAGGAGAGGGTGGTGGGGTTGATTGGAGTAGTAAAAGGGGTGACCTGGCTAAATTAGGCCTAAACTAAACGTCATGCAGTAGGAACCGTATCAGTGGAAGAGCAAGAGGAAGATGGAACAAAAAGAAATGAAGGTGAATGTGCTAGCCCCAATAGTAGCGATTTAATCAAAGAAAAAAAGAAGCAGATAGATAGTTCAGGTGACAGTCACGTGACCCCATTCAGAACAATATATATAATAAATTAGCAACAAAGAGTGTACTGCTTCCCTAATGAATGGAAACTCAATCAACCGATGAACGAAAAGAAGTTGCTGAAGGTCGAGGTACAAGTGCAAATCAATATTAATAATAGAAAAGTGCACCATGTCCCCACTGTAACTGGCACATGAACTTCACACGAAGAAGCGGGGTGTAAAGTACTCACTATTCATTACAGGGGGTGTACTGTACAGTACTCACTATTCATTACAGGATCAGGAGCGGCAGGTGTATAATGAGGACCTCTACTCCTACCTCACACTCCCACACATATATTATATAGATTATATTACATACAGTGTACCACTCTCTCTCTCTCTCTCCAATCAGAAACTGAGGGGTAGTGAGGGAGGATGGTGGGTGGAGGTAGGATGCAGGTACGGTCCACACTTAATCTTGTCTAGATGGGTATTAAAACACACAAGCAGGTATCAAAGAAGCATAAGATATCACAATATAAACGTCTAGCCCCCCCCCCCCCTCCACACACATATAGAGTATAATATGACAATATGTACAGGGTACTCATGTGTATTACTCTCACTATGTCTCCCACACTAATGAACATTACACACCCCTTGTGTCCCGGCCCTTACCTCCTCTCTCCTGATCATGTAGGCCACACTGTGTCAATTATTGTAGGGGCCCTCTGTGAGACCAGAACAATATGTCCTATAGTTTAGTGGGGGGTTTATGATGGAGAGCTTTTCATTTTTACCGCTGAATGTCTATTATGGAAATTGGAAGGCCTGTACAATGTACACTACGAAGGTCTTGATGCTTATGTACAACCATATTATGGCCTTTTCTTGCAAGTACACAAGTACACAAGTACACAAGTACACACTTACACACGTACACACGTACACACGTACACACGTACACACGTACACACGTACTATATTACAGAGTATTACACAGGATTTACACAGGATTATAATTAAATTATAGGTCCACTATCGTGAACCGTCATAATTGTTTACAGAATTGGGTAGGTAAATAAATTATTAAAAACATTCTCAGAGTGAATATGGAGTGTGACCTCAATGTTTGTATGTGACACAGTATGTGAGTGTAGCTAGAGGATACAGGTGATGTTTGTATGTGAATTGTGACACAGTATGTGACACAGTATGTGACACAGTATGTGACACAGTATGTGACACAGTAACTAGAGGACACGTACTGCAGTTGATTGTCCTTTTAATAGCCGGTATGTGACGAATATTTGGCCACTCTTGTTTATCACAAGAAATGTTTGCCTAATGTTCTCACGTAAGCCTAACAAAGCCATATTCTTATAAAATACCTCGTAGGTGAGCATTTTTCTAGGCCTTTCTAAAAACTTGAATAAACATTCTTCTAAAAACATGGCATGAGTATAATCCTACAGAACACTCAGTTTTTCTTTTCCTGCAGATCAAGAAGGGGACATTAAGTTCTGAACTAATAAAGTGTATTTAGTATTTCATTTTTTATATTTTGTTAATTAAATCATATGCGTGTCCATAACAAAAACAATAAGCCAGAAATACCTTTCGGAATAATGATAATAATTAAGGCCCACCTAGTCCCAAAAACAGGGCCAGTCACACGAAATGTCACCTGCAATGTGAGCAAGAGGGGCCTTGTGTGAAAGCGAAACAGCAGACCCCCAAACAACA